TAACACAGTATTTTATTATAAATCATAAAGATGTGAACTTTCAGGCGTTGGTGCCTTTGTGACATTTAAAGAATTGTGTGCATACCTCACATTGTACTTTCTTTGGATCTTCTGGGCTTTTTACACAAAAGAAATCCCCCACACGGCAGAGAATTTGCAAGTAATTTCCTCTCAGCTGCAGCTAAACTTCTGTCTAATCAGTTTGCTATTCCACTGGGGAGCCGCGAGAAGAAATTAAAGTCCTGCCTCGGGAGAACAGAAGCTGGTGGGGAATGCAGAGTGCGAAAGAGCTGCTGTCACTGGTGCTTTTAAATTGGGATATGAAATGAATTTGAATATATCAGCACATACCCCACAGTACTCTGTTGGAACACCTCTCATACAACTGTACGCCATGCATGCAGTATGTACTGTACTTTACTACAGTGATGTTGCCTTTGTCGAAGCTCCTGTGCAGCGATCTGCCGGCTCTTGATGATAATGACACCCAGCGCCATACAGTATATAGAGAGATGTGATGATTTCGACGTGGGTTTTTGGTCTATGTTTTTTTGCTTGACATTTGTCATGCTGATCATAGGGAAGATTAGTATTTTAATAGTGCCCACATTTCCAGGCTTATTTAAGGTATCAAGTCAAATTTTCCTTTCATATGTAAATGATGGGTTTCAAAAGACTTTTGAGGTCTTTTGGTTGAGGCTGAAGCTCTTAGTCAGGCTGTCTTGTACTGCAGGGATAACTTTGCCAGGCTGCTAAAAACATTTAATGACTCCATTGTTACTAATAACTAACTAATGACTGTTGTAATTAATAATGCTACATATAGTCTGGGAATCGAGTGAGCTAGGAATTAGCCAATGTTTATTTTAACATATGGTCACTTCAAGCCTCCTCCTTTCATTCCAATGGCAACAAAAGTTATTTTGTTGGTAGGAATATCTTGTTCCTTCCAAAATATAGTGCTGGTTTAATTCCTATTGCAAGTGGGGAAAAGTCTTAGCAGAATTGTACAAATAAACCAGAATGTTTTTTTCTATTTGTGTAAAAATTAATTTAACTTACAGTATTTAGTTTGAAAACACTTAGAAATGGTTAGATTAGGGAGCAGCATCAGCAAAGGAACACCGTCCATTCTAGAAACCATTGGAAATAAATTAAAATATTTGATTTTGAAAGGAGCAAGCTGCACAGAATCACTTTGCAGTCTAGAAACAAGTAATAATTAAAATATTTTAATTAAATGAATGAAGTGCAAAGGAAGACTCTCCAGTCTAGAAACAAGTACTGTAGCAATTAATTAAAATAACTGAATTAAAAGGAAGAAGCTGTAAAATGACACTCTCCAGTCTAGGAACAAGAAAAATTAATTCAAATATCTTAACTGAATGAGTGAAGTTCAAAGTACCGTTCTCCAGTCTGGGGACATTTATAGGCTACAGTATTTCAAATATTTTTAGATTTACTTTGCCAAATATTATTCTGGTTGATTTGTCTTATGGTCTGGCTGAGGTAAGCCTTGATTATGCTATTTGTGTCTTATCTTTGTGTTTTTGTGCTGGTTTTCATCTTCATTGTTGTTCTTTGGAACTACTGTATTGTGTCTGTGCACATTCCTGCCATTTCATTATTAACCGATTAACGTGCTGATATAAGAGCTTCAATGTTAAAATCTGTTGTGGAAGCCAGGTCAGGACAACTTGTGTGCTCTGGAGAAGAAATGAAGGAATATCTTAAAGAGACTAATGGGGATATCCAAAGAAAGGATAGGAAGGAACTCGAGGATTAATAGAGTAAAAGCACCAACAAAGGAGCTAAACGTCGGTGAACCATCCCGGTAAGAAGTCCAAGGAACAAGATCAGGGTCCACCCAGGCCCAAGTTAACACACGTGTCAAACTCATGGCCCACGGGCCACATTCGGCCCCCAAGCCGTTTTAATCCGGCCCTTGCAAGACTTTTCCTGGTCTGTTGTATGAGTCCCACGACAGCAGGAACTCCAGTTCCCATGAGCCCTTGGCTCCAATCCCATCACGCAACAACTGAGTATTAAAGTCCTCCCCTTCCCTCTGTGGTATAAAACTAATCAGATTGGCTACGTTTACACAGATATCACTGTGAATCTAGTAGTAGAAAAAGCTCTATTATCTTACTAGAAACACATAACTGTGGTGAAGGCAAGTTTTATCGTGGCTGAAGAAATAGCTAAATCAGGGAGACCATTCTGTCACGTCGATTTTCTAAAGCGGTGCCTGTTAAAAGTCAGTGAAGTAGTGTGTTTCAGTCTCACTAGAAATACAATTTTTTTTTTTTGCCTTATTAAGAGGGCCTGCTAAAAGAACAACATGTATAAAATTAAGACCGCACATGTAACAGAGTCATGTAAAGTTGATATTTTTTTAGAAAATAAAGTTAATCCCTGAAACTTTAAAGATCACTTCTCTCTCTTCCATTAAACAATGAAAGATCTGTTTAAGGATCTGCATTGACCTATTCAAAAGTCACGATCGATCCAATACGCACCGCAAAATCAGAAATGTTCCAAATGCAAAACGGACTGCAGTAGTGCCTTTTTTCTACTCTTCAAATAAAGAAACTGTGCGTGAAAAATAGAGTGAATTTAGAAACTTGGAGTCCAGTTAATTATTAGGATTCACACACTATGTTCTGTACTACAATTATGCCCATCTTTTCATCAAAACTGGGCAAAGTAATAGTGCTCAAGTCTTGACGTGTCATAGATTCTTTCAGTTCCATGTACACGTACTCAATTTATCCAATAAAACTAGATGATGTTTAAGAAGATATGTTGTGTAATCCATAAATATTCAACAAAAAAGTCACTTTTTCATGCACAATTATCTGAAGAAGAGTATAATCAAGAGTCAGTGTTCAAGCTGCAATGTGCCAGTGACATTCTGCAAAATGCTACTGATGTCAGAGCAACCTCATTACTGCACATTTGTACATAATCGCAGGGCACGTTCAGGACATCCATGTTTAATAAAGCTGGCTCAAGAGAGATTAAATATCTTCAGAATGCCAAACCACTACTTATTATCAATATTATTCCAGTACAAAGCTTCTTTTTAGGGGAAGTTGTTTGCAGGAATTCAATTAACAGTTCCAAAATTCATTTTGCATGATTTCCATGCTTGTTTTATACATATGATTTAAGTCTTATTTTTTATGGTCAAATCGTGGCGATCTCTCTTTTATTCTAGTCTCCCTCAGCAGCTGATAAAACTGTACAAGGGGGTCATCTGCTATTTTCAAATTCAAATGTTTATTACTGTGAAGCACTCATGGCTGAGCCAGTGAACAGCACCACAACTAACAATTGCCTGTGAATTTGCACACAATCAAGCCTTAATCAGAGCAAAAAAAAATCTACAACACTAGCATCTGTGTGCAATCAGTAATAAACATACTGTAGCTGTTGATGTTTATATATGGCGTTCTTTATTCAGTTCATTTGGACTTGGCTTATGTTGTGTTATTCTTAGTGATTTGTATTTATTCACTCTGAGTACAGGCTTTTGTAGAATGCTTGTTATGAATCTTTGACCGAGGTTCTTAGATTTTAGTCATTGTTTTTTTTAATTGCATTAAATGATAGGCTTTCACAAAACTGACCTTAGAGCGTGATTATATCTGTTTTCTGATAAGTGATGCATTTCTAGTTTATTTTCAGCTTGTCTTCTCATTTAAAAAAAAACTATGTGGAAAGTATTAATTATGCAAATCTTTACTGTTAACTTGTGTCAAAACAAAAATTCATTTTGAACTGCTCAGAGTTCAATTAGTATGTGCATTTTTAATTGACAAGTAATCTGTACTTTGAACTTAGATTTCCATAACGAAAAACTGAGCAATATCTCATGCATCATTGTTGTATCCCATATAAATGTCTCACATTAATGTCTCTAAGGAAACAGGATAGGATAAATGTTCATCAAAAGTGGTGGTGGTTGAGTGCCGTCGAGTCAGTATCGCCTCATGGCAACCCTATAGACAGTTCCACCATCACTATCCATAGAGTTCTCATGGCAGGATATGGAAGTAGATTGGACTTTTTAAAAGTAGCGAATGATAAAATATTAAATAGCTCTGAGTATTCATACTGTAAGTTTAACCCATCCAATTAGATTTTTGGAATACTTGGACAGTTCCCTTATAAGATAAAAAAAAAATTAAATGCATTCACTAGGCACCATAATAACAGTGATAGTGTATACAGTATTCGTTTAAACGATTTGCAACCGTATTCTGTGTGTACTCTTTGTAAGCAAACTTGTTATCCAGTTATTTTACTGACATAGTTATATACTGTCTGTTGGTATATTGGACATTGTGGCCTTTTGAATTTATTTAAAGATAAACTCGTGAGTGTGGCTGCCGTTTGCATCTGGAGATCTTTTAAGTATTCTCAATGCAGCAGGATAAGTCCTTTTAACTTTTGTATCTGTTCTTTACGTTTGCACTGTACTTCCTTACGTGGTGGTAAAGATGACAACGCCCTATTAATATTTCAATGCCATGTGGCTATATATCTGAGTTCTTTCACTTTATGTACATTTTAGTGATGATGCTTCTCTGTGCATCTTTTCTCATGGTTTATTTTCTCTCCGAAATTACCTGCACTTAAGATATTTTTCTTATAGACATCTGTGGAGTCAACATAACATTTGGTGGTCTGTCCGAACTTGTCATTGAATCATTCTTGAATATTCACTGCTTCTTGAATCAGTGTTAAATCAACTTGGAAAACATTAATAAAACTATGTCATTTAATAAACAATATTAAAGTAAAGAAAATTGGTGTATAACACTGTTTCAGATAGAAAATATACATTAAATGACCGTTCTTTCTGAAGGTATGTGTGGTTTTAAAGGGGTTTATACAGTGCTCTCAAACGTATTGGGACATAACCATTTCTTCTGTTGGGCCATAAAGTAGAATATTTTTATTACATTTCTTTATTATTGATATTATTGTTTCAGGATATCCCAATCCGGAAAATTTCAAATGGGAAGAATATTTAGAAGATACTGGCTCTTCTGCTGTTCCTAGCAAGGCTTTTAATGTGGTAAGTATGACCAGTTTGGACAACATTTCAAAGCTTCACTTCTCTCATCTCTGCACAGAATGTAGAGCTATCGTTAGCTTTTTATGGCTAAAAAAAATTGGTTTCAAATGCCAAGGAGGATGATTAAAGCACCCCTGTTTGACTTTATAGTTTTAGAAATTATACATGGTATTCTGTAGATATTATATTGTAATAATTTAAGTTTAGTAAAATTCATTGAGGTCATATGCCACATGATGGCAGAATTCAAAAGATCCCCAAATCTTGACCTATTCTTGTTTCAGAAACCACCTCATAAGTTTAGAGTGAATATGAAGTTGGAAGCTGTGGATAAGAGAAATCCTATGTTGATAAGGGTTGCTACTATAATAGACACTGAAGACTACAAGATAAAGGTAAGTGAATTCAATAAACGAAATACAAAGACCAGTTAAGAACTAATTTTCCTTCTGAGTAAACATGTTGAATTTTATTAGACTGCAACCAATCTTGTGTCGATAGATGTTTTTTTATATAAACTAATGATGAGCTAATGATACTTTGATGAGCTCATTTCTGGACCAATTGTATGTTCTTTGGGAACTGCAGTCAGAAAGGAAAACTTCAAATCCATTCCACTGAAAGCCTTTAATACAGTCAGCGTTTTAATCCAATAACTGAATCATCAATCAGATAAGTTGAAAGCTCGATAGGAGAAAAAACACATCCAAGCTGTAGAGGCTCCATACCTGTAGGCGAAACATGTTTTTTCCTCTTTCATTTTGCTTTTCAAAGTGAAATTAACATCTATTTGCAAGCTGCAAAGAAACTCTCTGATGCAGGTCCCCACCCAAACATAATTAATAAAACTGGCTGTACAGAGCTCCTGTACCGGAATGGATTAGATGTCTTGTAGCCTGATCTCATTAAGTCTTGGAAGCTATGCAGGGCTAGGGAGACATCCTTAGGGATCGGGAGACATTTAACAACCATTCTGCTGCTGGAAATGGTGTCAGTGGACGAGTAGATGGTGCTTTTTCATTTGATCCACAATTTCCAGCCCGTGACACTTTTCTTTTGAGATCCTTCAAATGAGAGAACAAACAGAGGTCCTCACTTTCCTTCCTTAATTAAAAATTCCACACGATCAGCTATATAACAGAACTGCGGGGCAAAACGGGGATGCCTCATGTCACAAATATGTTAGAAAAAAATATTTGTATCATGAAATGTAACATAATGTTGTATTATGTTGGTAAGACTGAAACTCAGTTGTACACAAATTGGACTCCATTACCCACGCTCATCTAAAGCAACGTGTGTTTGATTTTTTACAGGCTTGTACTCCTTTATGCTTGTGTGAGTGTACAGTATTTGTACAAGCTGTGTTTTATTTCTTACCAATTATCCTGCATATCGATGCTTTTGATTATCAGAATGGAAATTGGCATATTTTAGTTCTTTACTTTACTATTCCTTTTATTACCCCGCAAGAAAGAGTGGGAGTGAGCATTCTTGTTCTAATCCGACATGGGAAATTGACATGAGGTGTTTTGGGTTGTAAAGCACAATAAAATGTACATTGCATATCAGCTGGGATCTTCTCAGAAAAAGGTCAGATTTCAAAGAGAACACTGTTTAACTTAAAATTCAAAATGCATCTCTCAGTACCGGAAGAGAACTTGTATCAGGTATGCAAACACTGATCTGTGTTATATTTGCAATGTGGGTTCATGCTCCTATTTTATATCACAGGAGTTCATGCTGCCTGCTGGGCAGCTTTGTGGATTTGACAAGAGTATAAAGTCCTTCACTAATTATTTTGATCTTGTGCGTTAGTCTTTGGGAGACTGATTTGTTTTCAGAGTGATGTCTGTAGCTTTCATCCTGCTTTTCTATTCTTTATTTAGGGTGAAACAAGTTTCCTCTGAGGATTACTTAAAGAAGGGTTAAGTGACTGGATTGATTTTATTGACTAAGCGTTACAAAGGAAACTGTCCAAAACCGATCAATCTGTGTCTTTGGAAACAGTGCAATCCAGTGTTATTAATTGATTTTGTGCTGGAGGAAATAATGACATACTGTACAGTATATCATATAGAAACAATTATCTCTGGCAATTACAGGTTTTTCTGTGTAGCCAGTTCCGGAGGCTTGGAAAGCTTTTGAATTTGAAGTGGAACTGTTCATTTATCCCAGCATCATCATGATGACGATGATGACGATGATGATGATTATTATTACCACCTAGTACTACCACCATAAACCTGATTTAAGTCTCAGAAGCTCAGCAAGAGTTAGTTGGTCAGTACTGGGATGTCGAACTTCAGGTGATAACTTTGTTGCTTTTGGAAGTGACTTTGGTGGACCAGAAATCGGTGAAATTAACTTATCTCCAACATTTTACAAAGCAGTGCCCCAGCAGCATGGTGACTTCAGACACAGTGCTGTAGTGTCCTGACATAATTACACTTTGGTCTTGCATTATCTGCCCTACACCAGTTTCCTGCTTAATTCAGTAGTTGAAGCAATTTCTCACTTCTTCATCTTATCTGCTGTATAGGATTGCTGGTGCGTTATGGCGTCTTGCCCAGAGAGATGCTGTGCTTAAATAGCTTCTCTCCTACTGTACAGTATATGTAAAGCATTTAAGGGTGAAAAGTACTACATGATTACAATTCATTATTATTAGTTACTGCATTGCATATGGGATCTTTATGCATCGGGCATTTGATCTTACATAACAATGAAAATATACTGTGGATTCTCAATGGAAACTTTATGTCTATAAAACCTTGTTTAATTCTCCAAGCACTTCATGTTTCTTTCTTCCATAATTAATAATGTTATTGTAGTAATAAAGAATAATGTATATCTGTTTTTCTTTCTGCAGAATTAATGTTTAATGCTGAGTAACTTTGCTTACACCAATGTGACTTTGGATTGTATTATGACTTTGACACCATTCAGATGTAGCAGGAAAATCTCGTAACTGTAACTGAAAACTGGTCTGTAATCGTACTTGGGGTACATGTCTCTTGCCCATACAGGTGCATTTCGATGGCTGGCATCACAAATTTGATTTCTGGGCAGATTCTGACTCTACAGATATTCATCCTGTTGGGTGGTGTGCCAGGACTGGTCATCCTTTGGAAATGCCACTCAGTAAGTAAATATTTACTTCTTTGTGTGTGCATCGGAATATTTAAAAATCCTACATACTGTAAATTTAAAAATTGTTTAACGAAAAGTAAAAATGTTCCAAGATATGCAGCAGTTTTCCTTTAAATACAGCGTACCTGTATTGTTTTGTAGTTACAGTATATCTCTTTTAAACATATATTTGCTTGAAGCATTTCATATACATATTTAATCAGACTTTTCAAACATCTTATATATGTTTAGGCAGACATACCAGTGGCTTAAAAAGAATAAATGAGCAGAATACACACAAAAATACAAAAGGTATGTTTATGATTAATTCTTGACTTACGTAAAACAAATACAAGTTTATTTTAAGGTTTGTGTGGTATTTGTAGTCGCATGCCAATGAGGTACTTAAGGGAACTTGTATCTGCCTGATCTCCTCTTGTGTCTGTGCAGCAAAAGCACAATTAATCCTTTGAAGAAAGAAAGGAAATGAGCATTGCTGTTTTTCTCTGACATGGCAAATTGACATGAGGTGTTTTGTATTATAAAGCGGGATAAATTGTGCATTGCATATCAACCGGGGTCTTTAAAAAAAAGATCAGATTTCAAACAGAATGTTGTTAAACATGAAATTCACCAGTGCATCACTCAGAAGAGAGCTTGTGTCAAGTGTGTATCCTGTGATCTCTGTTATATTTGCAATGTGGGTTCATGCTTCTATTTTATATCACAGGAGTTCATGCTGCCTGTGGGACAGCTTTGTGGATTTGACAAGGGTATAAAGTCCTTCGCCCTGCCTTATACCCATTGCCTGCCAGGATAGACTTTGGCTCCTGCTCAGTCTGAATTTGAAGTAGCCATTAGAAAATGGATGGATAAAGTCCTTCGCTGATTAGTAGTACTTAGAGAACGCAGAGAGAAAAATGAAAAAGTTGTTTTCTGTTTTAGAAATAATAATAATAATAATTCCATGCAGTTATATAGTGCTTTTCTGGACACTGCACTCAAAGCGCTTTACAGGTAATGGGGATCCCCTCCACCATCACCAGTGTGCAGCCCCACCTGGATGATGTAGCCATAGTGCGCCAGAACATTCACCACACATCAGCTCTCAGTGGGGAGGAGAGCAGAGTAATGAAGCCAGTTCAGAGATGGGGATTATTAGGAGGCCATGATTAATAAAGGCTAACAGGAAATTTGGCCAGTTTGGAGAGTCAGGATCTCAGTTTTACGTCTCATTTGAAGGACGGCACCTTTTTACAGTATAGTGTCCCCGTCACTATCCTGTGGCGTTAGGACCCACGTGGACCGCAGGGTGAGCACCCCCTACTGGTCCCACTAGCACCGCTTCCAACAGTAACCTTAGCTTTCCCAGAAGGTCTCCCATGAAGGTATTGACCAGGCTCACACCTGCTTAGCTTGAGTGTGTTGACACTTGTGAGTTGCAGGGTGATATGGCTGCTGGCCATTCCTGGCTTACTACTATGGCATAGTTACGCTATCCTTAAAAGGAGTGCTCTCACCAGCCAACAAGAAGGAAGATGAAAAAAACACAAAAACATCCACCTGTTGTTTATGGCCAGGTTATTTATTTTTTAAGGAGAGCGAAACAGTGGTTTGTCACTGTCACTATTGTTCTTAAAAAGCCTCTGCAACAAAAAATAATGTACTGTAACTAAAAGGGAAAGATAATTGCACAAAAATTAGAAATGACCAATATTAACTGAACTCCAGTGTTTGCATACAATAACACGAGTGTCTTACTGCATCACTGCTGGTGACCAAACAAAATCCATTAATCGTATTTATACATGAAAGGAATTCTCATGGGATAATCTTTCCATTATAAAGCAGCAAGAAGCTTTGGTGACCAGCTGATTGTGTAAAATTATTTGTCTTAAGCGAAACATGCAGGCTGGATTCTCATTGATCTTACCCTACTGTATATTGAGTGTAGTATGCTGAAGTAACTAGTACTGTACTGTACATGATACTGGAAGGAACAAGCCGTTTCTTCCTAATGCTTTCCTTAAGTGTCTCCCACATGTATCCACATTGCATACTGTGCCGTTCATCACCATGGAGGGAGCTGTGGGGACTAGAACAGGGACCAGTGCAGTCAACATGTTTTCATTTTTTGTTGAACACTTCCACAGCAAGTAGATGAGCTGATAGGAATTATTCTGCTGCCAGCATCCCTTCCCAAAAAAATATCATTCTTACTACAAAAACGATCATTGTTTATAGCAGACTACATTCTCATCATCTACAATAGTTCATCAACAGGTTGTGTGTACAGCCCAATCTTTCTGTTCAGGATAAGGGTAAAGGGAGGAGACAGGCACCATTACATACATAGTCTGTGAGTCAAATAAGAGGGTGCCAAGGATGATTTGCGCTTGGACTAAAATTCCTTTGCTTTGGACCAGAGCTTTACATGGGAGAAAATATTGATCACATCAAGATGAACATGCGTTTGGAAAGCCGTTATTTCTATTCGCATCAAACAATACGCATTTAACCTGACACTGTTGAACTTCATGTATACAAAAGACAGAACACGTGCTGCAATGCAATATACTGTATTAATATACTGTAGCAGGCAACAGTGTTCACAAATTAACTATTCTGTTTAAACTGAATCATTTTCTGGTATACACAAGATACTTTTCTCGTATAAAAGAGGTAGTTTTTATTGTATAAATGAGTTTTTTTTTTCCTCCTTGGCGCTTATAAGCTTCCGTACAATACGGTGTCTGAAAGAATCGATGTATTGACTAAGCCTTGATATTGTTCACCTGATGAACTACAGTATAACATTTGAAACAGGCGGATTGTGTATGTATTTGTTCTTGCTATTACCAAATGAGGAAGTCGAGTTCCAAGGAAGTGGTGTTGAATTATGGTTGTGTGCATCAGTTTATCATTTTGCATTGCTCATGCATCTTCCTTTCATATTATTGTAATGACTCACTTAATTATGCAGGACGTTTGCTGTGTGCATCCAATTGATTTAACTGTGTATGACATTATCTCAATATACTGTTAACACGAGTAAGAATAAGTATATTGCAAAGAGAATTTGTGTTTTCATGCTTGTGCTGCCTTTTGCTCCTTCAGATAATTTACATTTTATTTCTGCCGAGATCAAGACATTTTGAACAGATATGTAGTGAAGTAGAAGAAAAGCATAAACCTTTCATTACAGGCCATGCTGTCAGCTACTTTTTTTCTTACGTAATAGTGTTACACTATTTTACATAATTATATTACTAAGTGCATTGTGGTTTTTCTTTGCTATAAATATCAATGCCTTTACCACAATTCAAAGGCTAATAATCCTGTGCCTAAATTGTGCTGGTATGGGAAATCTGTTTTTTTTTTTGTAAACATTTTATTTTCCCAAACACACCAAAATAAGGATGGGAGACCTCAAAGTAAAAAGGGGTTGCTGCTGGGAGTGGTGTTGGCGGACTAGTTGGTGGGACCAGTAAGTGCCACAGACAGGGGTCAGAACCCTTATGAGGGAGGCAGTGCTGTCCTTCTGGTGAGACGGCACTGGTCATTAAGACAGTCAAGGCCCTGTTCGTAAGCATAAATGTGTCAAGCCCAGTGTCGAAGCTAAATTCCACCCTGGACATGCACAATCAAACTTGCCTGTTGCAGAAGATTTGCATTTTCCTTTGCAGTAACAGGCTGAGAAGAAAAAGACTTGTCAATATCCTGGATATATGCTTGTTAGCTGCAGTTGCTGTACATTCGGTGGCAAAAGCACATCTGGAGCCAGGTTAGAGGATGAAGACTGGGAACTAGTCACTGCACTGGTGAGGACTAAAGGAGCTGATCTGCCCATCCATTTAATATACAAGTGTCTATTCACATATAAATGATAATACTCGCATGAATAATTATTTTAAGGAAATATACACATTAGTTTGGGAGGAACAGCTGTCCTTGTTTTATTAGAATGTACTGTATGTAAAGGAGCAGCGTGCCCTTAAGAGGCCTGTGGGTATTAACAAGGGATGAGGAGATTCCAAAATAAGAAACAGACTCCTAACCCTGCTGGATCAGTTTTTCTGCAGGACTCCAGAGATGGTCCTGCATGAGTGTTGTTTTCTAAAACCAGAGACAAACTGGTATCCCGGGACACCAGGGTAGCAGTTTCAAGTCCGTGAAGAGTCTTTGTTCTGCTTCGCCCGGAAACCCCTTTTTGGTTGTAGTGATATTTTCTGCTAGTTGTTCTATTAAAAAAAAGTTGCAACTCATTGTATAGTGTGGCTTTTATAATGCACCGTGCTCGGGCAACTACTCGAAACAAGGGGAGGTCTCTGACAAGCTTTTCATTTCAGTGACAACAGCTGAATTAAAATGCTGACGACTGGGCATTTTTTGCTTCATTTTTTTTTCCCTCGGCAGTTTTTTTACCTTCGTCTCCAATTTGATTATTGTCCACAATTTTGTGAATTTTTTCAAGAAAATAATGTGTTCTTTTCAACCAGAGTGCAGTACAAATTGCACGAATCGTGTCATAGCCCTATGTTCAGTAGTTATAAAATAATAGTCATTAGATCTGTGAAAATAGTCTGTTCATTAATATATAATGATTGATCTCATAAATCACGCGGGTGCTGACTTTGTACTCCCTGTGCAATTATTGTTTCTATTTCTCTTCCTATCTCAGTGCTAAATCATATTTATCTTTGTACTGATAGAACAATTTCCTGTTCCCTTTTCTGCACTCCATGACGTGCACCTTTCTTTTTTTCCATCTTATGCATTTAGTTTTTGAGATAAGAAATTGCTTTCTGTGGAAATAAAACCCCTTGGCAGTACGTTAATTGGGGCAGAGTTGTGCAATGTGCTGCTGTATCGGCATTTTATAAACTGTTCTGTAGCAGAACTGGATTATGCAATGGCTTTTGTTCAGTTTTATTATGCTAACATGTTTTTGTTTCATTATGCTAACATACATTTAGAATTTTTCCATAATTTGTAAAATGTGTGAGTTTGTGATTTTATTATCTTTGAAAGAGAAGAAATGTTCAGATCATAGCAGGGATCTTACTTTGTGTAATCCTTCAGTACTTACAAAACTTAAAACTTTATTTCTTAAACATTGCTTTTTATTGTTCATGTCAAACAGTGGTTGATTACCCATGAAGAAAATGGTTCCAGTTTAGCATTTTGTGGCTGATTTTTCATTCCCCATGATCCTTGAGCTAAATTTCGAATTTGCCAGGTCGGAATTTTGCTCAAAATGTTTTTTTTTGTAACAAAAATCTGTATGCATCATTGCCTTTGTTATCAATGAAGCTTTGTGCCACCTCCAGGGACTGGATGACATTAGAATTAAAATGTTTAAACATTAGAATTAACATGTTTATACAGTTTAAGTATACTTTTATTAGAGCTGAAGTGTGACCATCCACAAATACAGAAAAGAAGCACTGCAAATCGATACGGATTCACTTAGGAAAGAAGCAGTTCAATTAAATTTGACTTGACTGTTTAACTTTTGCTGTGAGTGATCGTTTCTTGGCTGTGTGTATACTAGTTGCCTTTTAAGATGCTTGATATTTCTGATGTCTTGTAGTAGTTTATAAAGCAATGGGATGATTTGGCAAACATAAGTTCACAGTATTATTACAGAAGCAGTTCCATTTATGGAGTATTTTCGTTTAGGTTATTAAAATATTATTGTAATTTATAAAGAGTGGCCGGCTTAAGATAAGCAAATTAATTTTAAAATAGCCGAAGAATATTAGAACGCTTACCATAACAGAAGTCAAAAACAAGATGAGGCCGTTTGACCAGTCTCAATCATTTAGTTGCCAGGAGACAGTTAATACAGACATTCCATCTTGCCATTCTTGAAAGACGCTAGGGTATTATCTTCATCAGCAACCTTTTGTATAATAAACAGCCCTTGTTCTCAGTTTTGAATATTCTTTCTTGAGTTTTCCACTTGTGTACCTGATCTGTGTTTACTTTTGTTTCCGAAGAGGTCACTTTTAGCTACTTACATCACATTCCCATTGTAGTCTTTTTCATTTCAATTCTGTCCATTCAGTGACAGTGATTCTATCATTCTCTTTTGCCTTTTTTTTGTTATGTTTCCGCACTGTATATGGGAGTAAACATAAAATTTCGATACTTTTTATTGGTCACTTCTATGAACTCATTGTTTTCCATTTTACATTTAAAATTTGTTTCTGCTTCCTGCAAGCAACATCCCACACTTGTCTTCATGAAATGCTACTAGGTGTTCTCCCAGTCAGATTTAATCGAAATCTTTATGAATTTCTTTTGCTGGTTCTCCAGTGTTTTTTTAATCTTCCTATTTCAGTGTCTCCTGTGAACTTGTCTTGTTTATGGAATATCTTACAAACTATGTCGATAATATAAATTAAGAAGAACAGTGGCTCTAATACAGGTCCAGATTGTGCTCTGCTAATTACATCTCCCCAAGCTGACCACTCACCTTCTATCTCTACTCTGTTTTCTATTCAGTATCCAGTTTTCAATCCGAACCCTTTGGATGCTTACTACTGTATCTTCAATTTAAGAATTAGTCTTTTAGAGGATACAAATGTAAGCATGCCATATACAGACAGCATTTACTGTATGTATCTATTACTGTGCTTGTCACGCTCGTAAACCCCTCCTCTTAAGGACGCTCCAGCCCTTCCTTGTTTTGTACTGATCCCCTGCACCTGCCTCCGGTTCCTGACCCCCGTCCTATAAAAACCAAACGTTCCTGCTAATCTGGGCTCAGCTTTGGATGATGGACGCCCTGAAGCCCGCCTATCCGCAAGGCCAGCAGCGACTCGGCGGTATCCGCTTCAATGACATCCTGACCCTCTGAGTCCGGGACTGGGAGAGTCTGGTCCCGTGACCCCCCTTTTATTCCCCCGACCCTCTGCCGGATCCTGCTCCGGCCTTTTAACTCTGTTTGTCTGTCAGGATGGATCTCCCGGTTTTGGACATTGGAACATTCTCGGATTTGCCTCGGATTCCTTCGGACTGTTTGCCCTGGAAACACCCACGCACCTAGAACACGCCCCCTGTTTTCCTTCCAGCTCCTTTGCATGCTTTTTACCTTGTGTTTTCCTCACTCCTCTCTGGATTGTGCTGTCTGCATAGGGTCCTGAACACTTCGTGACAGTTGTCAATTGTTCCCAGAACTAAAAATTAGCTCAATTAAATTGACCTCTTCGAAAATCCATCTTGGCTATCCCCTGGAATCTCCCCTGGAAGTATTTAGCAATTCTGTTGCCAATAAGTCTTACCCCTTTGGTTAATGTTGAAGTATTGCCTTAAGTCATTTTGATGACATTTAAATATCATCCCTCATTTCTTCTAGTAAACTTGGTAACTTCTCCATCAGTCCCTGAAGATTTGTTCATCTTAAGTGCTTCTAATACTTGTAACATACAGTACAGTATATGCCTGCTCTAATGGTATTTAATATGGAAATCATTCCTCAGTCCGGGAAATGTTGTAGATTTATTCTTAAAACACCACTCTAAAAATTTAAAATGCTACATTTCATTCTCTGCTGGTTCCTTATCTGTCATCATCTACCCTCTTCCGCAATGCAGCGCACACTTGGCCAATGTGTAACAACTGTTGTGTGTCAGCAGCCTTACTGCACAACAAATCAGATGGTGGAAATGAGCAATTACTTCACCCGTTGAATTAAGGTTAATTAAAGAATTATTGAAAACCAAGAGTTGAATTTTGGCTTGGACACCAGGGTTAACAAAACTGCTTACAAAGTAGTCCAGGGGATCTTTCGTGTCTGAGTCGTCAGGACTTTGGATTGAAGTCTCATCAGAAGGATGGCACCTCCTGCAGTGCGGTGTGCTGTAACACTGGTTTGTATATTATAGTCCACAGGGAGGATTGTCACCTGCTGGTTCACCAAAACCCCTTGCACAATAACCTGATTTTCTCTAGAGGTTTCCTACCAAACTGCTGACCAGTCTTAGCCTTGCTTAGCTTCCAAGATTCAGTGCAATCATGCTAGAACACATTGCGTGCTACTGCCATTCCCATTCAGTTTCTTATAACGCCTGCCTTTTCCTTTCACAGTCGGCTTTCCTAAAATTGTAATTTTTTGCCTGGCTTTATCTCTACAAGCTTCCAAATATATTTCAAAGCCTACCAGAACATGATCATAGTTTTCTGATTGTTCTCTCGCCTCCATTTTCATTGTTGTATCTGGGTTGTCTGAAAACACCAGTTCAGCACAGGCCTTTCCTCTAGTCCGTTCCCTTTTTTTCCCTTTCACTTTTAACCTCTCATATGCATATTGTCTCTTATTCATGTTCCAATCTGTGTGAGGAATATTAAGATCTCACATCACAGACGCTTCTCATGCTCTGCATACATTCTTCTGTGTGCAATATGTACATTCAGTACTGAAGTTTAACTGATTGGTCTGTAAATGTGGTCATCTGAAATATACTGCACTCCTAACAGGGGGTTTTTGAATATTTTTGTTCAGTCTTGACCCATATGGAATCTGAAACCTGTGCCTGAACCCTCTTTATGATGTTGATTTATGGTTTATGATTCCAACGCAATAACTTCTATAACTTGCATTTTTTTTCCTGGTTGCTAGCATTTAGGTGCAAGCTCTTAATTACCAAGTCCTTGACATTTTGTTTTATCCCATTTGATTAGTACTTAAAGCATGTTTGAAGAAATAATTCTTATGGATTCAAGTTGGGCAAGAGAAGAGAAAATAATATTATTTAAGGTCCCAGAGAAGAAAGTCTTAAAAATACACTCTATGCTGATGTCCCGTGTTCTCTTTAAGAAACTTACTGAAGTTTGATTTTTGGCCTCGTTTTTAGGATGATTAAAAGTTTGGACTCTGAGACTGTAACTTGATTTTTTTTGGCAGGCCTCCCTGTCTTGTAAACAAAAAGGAGGCTCTGTATTTTCCCAAAATATAATCTTTACAAAATGAATAATGTATAGCCACTAAATATAACTATCTTCACATGTTTACAAAGAGGTCAGAAAAAAACTCCAGATTCCAAACTTAAGTCAATTAAATGGGTATACTGTATTTAATCAAAAGTCACTGATTTAATCACTAGACATTGTTTGCTTTTTTTAGTGCTCCAGGGAAAACCCTTTAGTTTAAGGTGGGGAATGACAGTCGTGTCAGGAGGAATGGTATAGGGTTGGAGTTGGTAAAGAGATGGCTTTTGAAATCACTATAGTTATAAAGATTGTAAAAGTATTAGGTTCTTTTTTTGGCCCAGTGTTTTTAGTGTGGGGTTAGACTGGATTTGCATTATGATTAGCGCTGGAGGTTATGGTTTTACACTGTGATAATGTTTTATCTGATTTCTCAGAAATTAGTCTAGCATCAAAGCAGCTACTGTATGTTTTACACACACAGGAAGAAAAAATACAAACATTACGTTACAGTACATTGTATGTAGTAAACATCACATTACTAGTAAACATTAGATAGCGATACATTTTAAATGTTAGGATTAAAGCTAAGAAGAGAGCTTGGTGAAGGTTCTTTTACAGTACTTCTGTTATTAGTGTTGTCTTAATTATTTACCATAACTATTCTGAATCCTGAATGTCATTTACTTTTTTATTTTTTTTAATTCATATTTTGCTTTAGAGAAGTTGTTTTGGTTTGTTTCAGGACCAGCAGACCTCAAGATCTCAACAACACAGGGAGTTTGCCCTACACCCGGGTGTCGAGGGGTTGGCCACATCAAAGGGGCACGATACACTGGACACCATAGGTGAGTGCTTGAATGACTCCTTTAAAGGGGAACTGCAATGCTGTTTTTATATTTCAGGGTTTGAGAGAATCGGCCTTGATGAGTGCATTTCAAACCACAATAAAAGTAAAATGTACATACTAACTTGTAAAACCTCCAATTTACATCACAAAATAGATCAGATTTTGTTGTCTGGGCAGCTCCATATTCTGTGATTTAGAATTAGGCAACAAAACGTTGATGTGTTGTGGCCGTGTGACATTGTAAAAAAGCCGGGATTGTGCATACATCTCTTTTACTTGAATAAGACGGTTTTGCCAGCAAATACTGCTTACTTGATATTTCTGCATGCAGATCACGTTGGAACATTTCTGCAGTGAAATGTGTGCTGCACAACCTGTACTCATCCGCTCGTACATAGCATTATATGAGTCATCACAGGGACTAGTGAGCAGGAAGGGCCACTTCATGTCGTAATTCGGAGGAGCTCTCCCCTGGCGAGACTAGGGGTTTGCGACAACATGGCGACTTCCAGTACTTTCACGGAGCTCACGATTTTGTGCTAAATTTGAAAATTGTGATTTTTTTTTTCTATAACATCAATGAATTTATTTTGTTATGGAGATTTAATAACCGATCTGAGAAATTGGTACTGCAGTTCCCCTTTAAAATGAGTCACAGTCAAGTGAGTCTTCCCCATAGGGACCTGGTGTTACTACAGCAAGTAGTTCTATTAGATGTACTAAGTGCTACTGATATTCAAATGAAAAACCCAGTCCAGACATGTTTAGGTATGCTGCTGAAGCCAAGCTTTTATAGACAGAATGCACTTGTGCCAGTGTGTGGCTCCAGTTCTGAATGTTGAAGTGTTATTTTTTGACGAAAAACCAAGCACGAACAGCCAACATAAGACATGCAAAGCACTAAGGCACTGAATGTACACCACATGTACACCACTCTTCATAAAACAGGAAAATAATACAGTGGATATAAAAAGTCTACACATCCTTATTGAAATTGCAGGTTTTTGTGATGTAAAGCCAGATATCAAGATAAATCATGTCAGACATTTTTCCATCTTTAATGTGACCTTTAATGTGAACAAATAGATAATTATTAGGAAAGATAACTGAAATTAAAAAACCTAAAGCACCCTGGTGTGCAACCCCCCCAAAAAAAAACTATACTTTGTGGAAGCACCATTTGCATTTATTACTGCAGTAAGTCTTTGTGAATAAGTCTCTATCGACTTTGCACACCTGGACACCTGGAAAAAAGAGCTTTGTTGTTTAAAGGGAGAAGGACAAAGAACAATGCAATGAGTAATTATTGTGCAACTAAATGTGTTACTGTTTACCTCAGATTCATATTTTTTCAATAAACTACAGCGGCCTAACTACTTGCTTACCCTGCAGCTCACCGCTGGCTGCCCACTGAAGCTAAGCAGCTGTGAGCCTGGTCAGTACCTGGATGGGAGACTCCTGGGAAAACTAAGGTTGCTGCTGGAAGAGGTGTTAGTGGGGCCAGCAGGGGGCGCTCACCCTGCGGCCCATGTAGGTCCTAATGCCCCAGTATAGTGACGGGGACACTATACTGTAAACAGGTGCCGTCCTTCGGAGGAAACGTTAAACCGAGGTCCTGACTCTTTGTGGTCATTAAAAATCCCAGGGCATTTCTTGGAAAGAGTAGGGGTGTTACCCTGGTGTCCTGGCCAAATTTCCCAATGGCCCTTACCAATCATGGCCTCCTGATAATCCCCATCTCTGAACTGGCTTCATCCCTCTGCTCTCCTCCCCACTGAGAGCTGGTGTGTGGGGAGCGTTCTGGCGCACTATGCCGTGGGGCTGCACATTGGTGGTGGTGGAGGGGATCCCCATTACCTGTAAAGCACTTTGAGTGGAGTGTCCAGAAAAGCCCTATATAATTGTAAACAATTCTATATGCTGCTATCTTCCGTAACCTCTGAGCATTATCAAAATGCTCAGTGTTGTGCCAGTCTGACGTACTTTTCCCACAGTAAAGGACATTATATTAATATAATTTATACATTAATTTGGAAAAATAAGTGCTTGAAAAGCTGAGAAGGCAAAGGGATGCCACTTATCATGAAATATTGAGCATGGTCTTGTGGCTTCTTTTTGTCTCAGTTTTATCTCAGGTTCCAAAGTAAATCACAGTTGGAAACCTAAAACGTACAGTATTTGCAAAACTAACAAACTAAGCACAAAGCACACAGATTGTTACTTACAAGTAGTTACAGTACGTGTGACTGGGACCAGCTTTTTACAGAATCAAAAACTCGACAAGAAAAATAGTCACGTATAAGACCTTCTGTGACATTTGCTAGTAGCAGCATGTTTGTTTATATGTGGGGCAAGAGGTGCAGCATAATGGTCCTCCTGAGCTTGTGATTTATCCTCTGAAGTGCTGATGTAACATTTACAGGATAAGGCAATTTTGTGCAATCTTCTAACATTACCCACCTTCAGAGAATGATAGTTTAGTGCACCTGAGTTATCAACACATCTCCTGGAAGAAGAGCAGTGCTTTGATCTTTGTCCCATGGGCTTCCTTTTTACTTGCTATACTCTCAGGGCGGTCTGCTAGTGCCTGAGATCTTTCAGGTTCATGACGTGTTTGGGTGCCACATGTTCTCTGCAGCAGCCTGTAAGGTGGTCAGGCCCCTTCCTTTTCTCAAACCCAGGTCACCCGACCCACACTTACTGTACCTCTTTATTCAAATCCTTTGGCATTTCACCTTTCACATTTTAATCACCATGACCCCTTTGTCTGTTTTGGGACCCTTTCCTCTGTGAGCTCCCCTCACTGCATGGAGCTCTTTCACGCCACCAGTCCATCTTATTCCGTGCTTCTTCACTGCACTCTGTGGTTCCTCTCACCACATGAGAAACCAGGCTGCTCCCTCTCTTACCGGTGGCCTGGCCAGGCCAATGAACTGCCCTTTCATTTAATCTGTTGCACCTGGGGTCCCTTTCCTGTCTCTTCTCCCGTCTTGAACCACCCCTCAGCCCATGGGTGACCCCAGGCCAGTTAGCCTCTCTCCGGCTCTCCCAGGGATTGCAGTCCCCAATCCTGGATCTCCACTTTGCACTGAGAGAGACCCTGTTTTCAACAGCAGGCCTGCGCCATCTCCATTTTCCTATAACTGGATCTGGAAAACAAGTCACCCTTTCCACCCCCATGTTGCCCCTTAATATGGCATCCCACACCATAGTGTGGCACGAGTGATTGAGCTCAACACTGTGATGTTGAGAGAGTACAGAAAGGGATGTTCTCCAGCTGGACTGGAAATAGAAACTAATGAAAAGGAGCACAGTAGAGTCTTTTTAGCTGCCAGTTCTGGTACATACACACACAATGTTCTCTAAGTTTGTCTTCAGTGTCCCTTTGTCACCTTGAAAACCTCATGTTTTCCTATAAAAATATCCTCATTGTGTCTCCCTGTCAAAGGTCAGGTCAAGATATCTTGGAGATCACAGTCCCATGGGACTATTAGAGCAATACATGCATTGAATTCCACTGTTATGGTATCATAAGAGCCTCCTGTTTCTCTGAGATTGATTAAAATCCTGTGTGGTCCCAGTCAGGACCACTGGTGCTTCTTCAGTTGTACCGTCGCAATACTTTCTGCATCTGTACGTGATTTTTTTGTTCTCTAATGCAAAATTAATTCCTGTCAAGGAAGTAAGATGTTATGTGGATGCAATAGATGATCAATTTGTATAGCTTCAAAATTCAAGGTTAGAAGCCAGATAGATCAAGCTTTTATTTTTTGTTTCTGGTTCACAGTTCTGCCTGGAAGGAACTGTCCATTCCTATAGCAAAAGTGTCTGCCATGAATTTAAATCAATTCAGACATGCTCAGTTACTGTATCTAGATTTTCATGACATCTGCTGTTAAGAAGTTACACGCAGAGAAAATGGTAGAAATCTCATTTACCAAATATAAAAAAAAATGTTATATGAAATGTGTTTATGTCAAGGACTAATTTTCCGATTAATCAGGCTGGGAGCACCAAATCAATTTCAATGGTGAAATGAGTCTTGTTAGACTATTGAATTACACACAGCTCAGTCTGTGAACCTCTACAGTACCTCACAGTAATATTGGAATCTGTGTGTTTTGGTTCTTCACAAGTAAAATATAGCCTAAGAACTCTTTTCTTCATTTGAGTAAAGCTTGTTATAAATTCCCTAAGGATTTATACAGTTATCCAGCATAGCATTTTAACATTATTGAAAAAACCCAATAGTTTATAGTACATTGACTATTGTCACAGTTGTTACTCTAAAACCACAAGTAACATAAATGTTTTAAGGAAGAACAGGGTTCTGGTGAGTCAAATTCTGATGTCTTTACCGCAATTAAGAAAATGTAATTTAATCTAAATTTACTGCAATTAAGGTTAACCTTGTCTCTCACTCGCTTTTTGAAACAGAACAGCAAGCTTTTAGTGTTGAAGATGAACACAATTGCCATGCAAAAACATATATTTTTATTATTAGTCAGTAATAGTTGGTTGCCTTATAAAGTGTAAAAAAGGTCAGAGAGTCAGACAGTTAGCTCAGCAATAAACCAAGACTGCTGTTCCCTTCATGTCAATTAATCTGAGCGTAGGATACATGAATTACATCTCCTTTCGAGACACCTTGGCTGGTCAGGAATGTGAAGAACAATAAAACAATTCTTAAAGACTTCGTTGTTAATTCATAACAAGGCAAAGGTTCCTTCAGCTGAAACTACTGGGATTCATCATTCAAAATTTTTATTTTAAAAATGGAATATTTAGCTCTTGAAGAAAGATATAAGATGTGAAAAAAGGGGTTAACTGATTTCTTCCTGCACAAAGACTTCTTGTGATACAAGACATTCCATGCCTAAGCACCTTTGAGTTATTGCAGGGATGGGAGTTAATTGATATGAAATTCTAAGTGCAAGATAGAGACCCCCCTAACTAAGGAAAGATAAAACCGTCCATTAAAAGTGTTCAAGGTCTTGA